GATTCAGATTAGGGGACTGTGACGGCCACGGTATGGGGGAACGTTGTTGTCGCGGAACCAAGTGATGAGCACCTTCGATTGTTTCCTCTGCCATAGAAGTTGCCATGCACCATCACCAATCCCACACCATTCTTCATGATCGGCAGCTGGTACCTCGGATGGCATCTGTTACCGACAGAACGTCGTGCAAACTCCATCCCATTCGCCTCGAACAATAAAAACTTCGATCCGTCACTTTAGATGACACCACTGATGGACGGTCCAAGCATGCCTTGCTTTAGTGATCTACGATGCCCTTGTGCTTAACGGCTCCTGGCAGGAACCAGCGCTTTCTTCACTGGACCACGTCCGAACAGACCGGCCTCTATCAGACGACGAAGTAGAGAGTACACAGTTTGATCCCTCAGGCTTTGAGATTTTGCGACGAGTGTCGACTGCAGTGACAATAGAATCACTCTTTGTAAGCTGTTGATTCTGTCGGCGAGACGAGACACATTCTTTCCTGTCCTGGTTGACCTTTGCCTTCAACATACCCCTATCCTTCTCAGTCGTCCAAATCGTTATTCACCTCTGGTACCCTCAAATTTCGGAAACCTTCCTGGATATCAAGCCATCGTGAGTGCTCCGAAAGATGGTGTCAACATGGTATCGCTGCAAGTTACGGATTGTCGAATGCCTCGGCATAGGCTGAATAATGCACTGTGACCATGACGAGATGCAAAACTGTGAGAACCACCCAAAATTCTAGCATTGAAATTCGTCAGGTATGAAATCTAAAGGTGTGGGTTAGAGGGCGATTCGAGTTTAAAGCACCTGTTCTGGTTAAAAGAGCGCTGCTTTACGGTTACACCTGTACGATGCTACTATCTATCAATTGTTGAGGTTACCTACTCCTTGATTTTCCCCGAGAAAGCTTGGATTTTTGCCGAACTCATATTCAAGGGAGTGAGAACGCATATTTCACTCCGCCATATTTCACGCCGAGGTGCTGTATATACGCAACTGAAGATAGCTACGATTTTAAATTGAAGGTGAATGTGCGGAGGGAACGGCACACCCCTAAAATGGGATTGATCGGAATCGAAGAGATTTCAAGAAATCGAGGCACACTAAGTGGTTCCACTCAGAAAAATCAGATGGAGGGTAACAGAGCACACCAGCAAAATAGACAGGTGAGCTGATGCTGCAGTAAGGGACAGAAAGCAGCCTACCTGCATGCAGCCTTACTGCTAATTGAAAAGTATATGGCTAATCTAAGACGTGTATGGTACCGCGTGCAACTGAGACTGATACCGTGTGCGCGAGCAGGAATGAGGTGCTTGTTGTCCATGAACAGTAAATTGCTATTGTCATACGTTCAGAGCGACTCGGGTAATGCCAGATGGTGCCGCTATCATGCTTACGATTCAGGGACCAGCATTTGGTGCGGTGCCACTTGGCATTACCCGAGTCGCTCTGAGCGTATGATACTGAAATCTTGGCAACAGCTACCCTTTGGTTTGCCATTTCATGTAGGATGGGCGTAGTAGTCCGTCTATCTACTTCCGAATGAGCCTGCCTTGTTGTTCAACAAATGATAATGATAGCTGGTTATTTGTAGTGGTAATGATTACTAGCATACTTCGTTCGGAAGCGATGGTGTGGGACATTGCTATACTTACATCTCCCAGAAACGGTCGACGAACGTGAGTGGTCTCGAAAGTTTACGTGGCTGACGATGGTGTTGTAAGCAACAGTAACGACCTGTAAGTTACCCGAGTGGTATGTACTGCTGGCGGCTGGTACCACGTTTGCTGTACTGGTACAGCTAAACTGTATGTTGTGATCGGTCGCCTTCTACTTGACTCATCTACATATGTGAATTCTGAGAGAGGTTTGCTCCTAAGTTAAGGAGCAATCCTCAAAGGTTGAAGATAGAGCCCAGTTACATATCCCTATGAATCTTGACTACCTTTCCTTTCTTATGTGAGCAGCTCGAAAGGTGATACTGAAAGTAAAGATGTAATCGTTTCAGGCCACATATGCAGGAGGATACGAATTTGTCGTACTTTCATGGAGCGCTGATGGACCAGGACGCCGACGCAATGCTCCAGGTTCGCGCTGAAGATACACTACTTTAGAGGACTCAGACAATGACCAAGGGTAGGGTCCAAGTAACTGACCCACAGCGCTATCAACTCTTCTCTTCGCGAATGAACCTCACCGAGATAGTTTGGCCTGCCAATCATTTTCTGCTTGCTGTCCAGAAGCGCGGTTTTATCCGTTACCTCTTCCTCACCCACCGCTTCACAAACCGCCAAGACCACGATATCGTCTTTTTCAGAACGAAGGCGATTTCCTGATCCAGTCACGGCATTCGAGTACAGCGATCAGACAGCGCATGGTGATTGCTATTCGTACCAAAGACTCCATAAAACGTATTGACATCCGACGGAACGAGAACGGAGTTCGACTAGGAGTACGTGGTCACTTATTGTGAAACATTTGGCGAAAAGCGTTATTACAATCACTGGTCTTCGCTGAGCAGTACGTTCCAGTGATTGATCGTAGTGTTGTGAACTGGGATGTAGCGACAAGCGAATTTGTCGCACTCCTTGCGCGGTGCAGCACATGCTCGGCAAGTGCAAAGTGGGCAACATGTCTGGCGAATGTCCTGCGAGCGAAAATAACAGTCTGTTATCTCTTCGAACCTGCTTCCATTATGAACGGTTTCCAACAAATGCAGATGAGCTGCAAATTTCAAACAATCATTTGTGCAGACAGTGCCTTTATCCTCTGTAATCATTCACAATCCCTCCATACATGCGCCTAGACGATTCCAAGTTCGGTGACTAGACATTATGAATGCTCTAATCGGGAGGAATAGCATGTCCCTCTAGCGAAAATGGTTAGCGGTACGGCATTGGCTCGCGACAGGGACAAATAAGACGTCACTGGAGCCCGTTTGGCCAAATCGATGGCCCAATGGACAGCAAATAACAGTTTTCTAGGTGATCAGGCTCTATAACCATGGGTGCCCCTGTCGGACCTTACTGTTCAGCGCTGAAAGCTATTCCTCAATAGTAGCGCATGGGCAGCCAAGACGATCGCCAGGAGTCAATATCGTGGACTGTCTGCCGAGCCAACAGGAACTTTTCTCCCTTCGAAGTCTGTCAATTGCTGCCAGCCTAAAAGCACTGGCTCATACATCTCAAAATACTAATGATCAACGTCCAAAAGGTTCTTAATCCTTCGATATGTATGCGCTCTTTTGTTTGCCTACTCTCCTCTAAATGATGTTGCCAGTCATGGGAAAGAGACTACTCCTATTGATAGGGCAAGTTCTGGTAAAGTCGTAGTTTTATGTTCTCCGGAGTTGCGGAACCCCAAAAAGTTATTTTAGGGCAAAACATTTCCAAACTTGAAAAAGATGGTAGAATATTACTCTAAAGAACCGATAGTATTACAAGGAGGAGAGGAGCTGTTACTCAAAAAAGCCGTTCCCAAAGGGAAATTTCAACTTGTTCACAGTGATGTTAGGCTTCTTAAAAAGGTCGGTTTTCTAAGAGTTTTCAGTTCATGTAGAGGTTTTATATCGTTCCATTTCTTGAATTCAGATTGGCTCTGGTGCTTATGGAACGGTCTATCGTGGACAGTTAATTCGCGATAATAATAGAACGATAGCCGTAAAAAGGATCGATTCTGAAGGAACGGACGAACAAGGTTGGTGCTTTTTTCATCATCTTTCATGGCTCCGTCAGGTCATGCAGCGGATTGAAAGAAGGCTTTTTACCGGGGAAACCCCAGAGATTNTCGCGAAGGCGAGGTAAGCTTTCAGAATGTGTTTATACAAAGCATTTTTTGGCTTCTGCTCCTCTAATGCGCAGTCGTTGTCCCAGAATTGGGCTGACGCTCGACTGCATAGTAGGGGTCCTAGAACTTGGCTTTGATCCCGGTCGCAGACCATCACAATCTCTTTTTTAGCGTTGGCTGAAATGATGAAAGAAGCCCGTGTAATGCAACTTAACGATCACAAGCATATAGTAAAGTGCGAACATTTTTGAGCTCCTTAACTAAGATATCTCATTTTTACGTACTTGAAATGAATCAGAACTTCCAGAACGACTTCTGTTCATTTTCTCAAGATCTCCTTTCAGATTTTTCGGGTTCATTGTCGACCGAATGCCATATCTGCTGGTGATGGAATACTGTGATGGGGGTTCAGTGGAGGACAAACTTCGTGCTCATCCCAAGGTACATTTAGGTTCTCACTGGCCTCGGCCTTGATACTGTATCTCAACTTGCAGAGGATCACTATTCCAATGAGGGTCGACATGAGCACGCAAGGCTCTTATGGATTGGAATATTTACACTCACGAGAGTGAGTATTAGTTATTATTTTCACTAATGGCATTAGAGGTTCTGATGCTCGCACGATTTTTTTTGCTGGTGACCAAGATCCCAGAAAAACCGTTAAGCTGCCAGTAACAACACTTGGAATTGAGAAAAAATACTTGTTTCGAGATTTTTTCCAAAAAAAAAAAGTACCTTTTGCAGTAGGTAAGAGTATATGCAAAAAAGGGACCTTAGCCCAAACATGATTCTCTTTTGAAAATGCTCGTCATCCATACTCCGAAGAAATCGATGTAATGAAGGGGAGCAGGAAGCTTATATTATATCGGAGCTGGTGACTAATCCTATGCGTACTGTTTTTTGAAACGATTAGAGGTTCAGACCAAACTCAGAGGTTTTGGACACATAAGGCTCCTTGAAAGGGCCCAGACAACTTGACAAGTCGTTTAAAAATACATTCGTGTCACCTCTTCCTGCAAAGGTTTCCTGAAAAGTACAAGTTTGGCAAATGGTGATAAATCAAGCTTTGTATTACACATTTCAGTTGTATCCACAGAGACATCGCCACCAGAAATTGCCTTATCGATAAGGGCATCGTGAAACTTGCAGATTTCGGAATGTGCCGTGCAACGAACGTCTACAAAATTGACCTTTCAAAACCGCTCAACGTACGATGGCTAGCACCAGAAGTAAGTCCGTGAATCGAGAGTTATCATACCAAATCCATGACTTGGATTGCTCACACTAAGTAGATTTGGAAATGCGTAGAGAGAGAAAAGATGATCGATGAAAAGATGTGGCAGTGGCAAAGCTCCCTTAAAGTGGTTGATCGAGTTCTATTAAGCGATGGAAAACTTCCTCCCCACAACTGTTTCAAGGAAGGGTGTTAAGGAAAGCATCTCGTAAGAGGCTGAGGCTATATAAGAGTAATCAGCTTCACCTTAGAATTCGTTCACCAGCTCCGAAATTCCTCATCTTGCGAGCTCCGGCGAATAAATCCATTCCTGCCTCAACAACTTATCGTTGGTTTCGGACGCGAAAATATTGTAGCTGCTAAATTTGTAGCTTTGATGGTGCTGCTCATGTTGAGAACGATGTAAGCGTCCTTACAGAAGGGACTGTCCTCGCGGAATGTTGCAATTGCATTGCTAAACTTTTGCGATTTGCCCTAAAGAATCTCGATCATCACTCAGTTTTCTATAGACGACTTCTACCATACCGCACTTCACCTCCGAAAAGCCTTATTTTGCTTCCGGAGATCGGTGAATTCCCATCGAAAATTCAAGCGCCTTCAGGTTGATTGATTTTGTATATCGCACTTTCTTAAAATAGAACAGGGTCCAGCTGTTATAGGATATTGAGGGGCCCTTGTCGTGGACAGGAGCATTCGAGAGACCTCAATTTTGCCGGATGTTTTTGACAATTTCGAATCGCACTTTACTGCCACTCCGATTGAAGGGCAAGGCCACAGATGTGCAGTAGTTGGTAGGCCGAGATTAATTGATGTAAAATTGTTCGCAAATGGAGTAGCTGACGCCATCGTGGCGCCTTCGAGCTCTCTCAGGTTTTTTTTTAATTCGATGACAGAAATTCGCTTGCAATCAAATCTAAACTTAGAATTTCAATGAGGTCGATTAGAATTGTTAATGTTCTCTGTCAAATAGTGCCATTGACTGTACCTTCAACCCAAAGATCTCTTCAGTCAATCAGTGCCGCTGGCTGTACCTTTAAAACAGAGATCTCTCCAGTCAATTTGGTGAGAGATACATTCATTCAAGAATTCGAGATACGAATCGGGGCAAGATACTCTGTTAACCTCTGAATGGTCCGCAGTTCGTACTTAGCTTGGGCAAGTTATGTTACCCGATAAGGACGGTTTCGTTCACGTTTCGTGAATCGGGTGTCTACCACTGAATCGGATAGCTATCGAGCGCATTGTGTATCCCGAAGAGTTAATGGGTGACTCTAGTGCTTATCCATTTCCATGGTGCCTATACGGTAGTGCCATTTCACGCTCACCCTGACCGATGTTATAACTAGATGGATTACATCGTCTGTGGCGCGTTTGTTTGATTGATAGGCTGAATTTGGGTATTGTCATACTGTCACATTGCATACTCGCTTATAGCGAGATGAATCGTTTTGTTATTAAAAAACGCTGCATTTCATTTTTTGGGTGGTCTTTGACGTGCGAAGAGATCCCAGAATGTGACATGAAGTTGGGAGTGGGAGGCATCACTCCCGAGTTCACCCGAGACTGTTTGAAGGGCAAAANCTACGGTTTCGATTTATGTTCTCAGCCATCATTGAGAATAGAAGGTGCTCAACTGCATCAAAACATCTTAATGACTTCGAGCATGTCCTTTCTCAATGCATATGTTGAGTACCGACCGGTGAAGAGCCTTTGGTTTACTAGAGGACCCTCCCTATTACCAAACACTCCCGAACAAATACTACATTTCCGAATCTCAACAGCAACAGAAGCCTTAATCTGTTTGGCAAGGCAGGGCACGAACTCTGAATCGTGGTTTTAGGGCCAGTGCTCTTTAGCTCAAAACCGTCCGAGTCTTTGGTAGTTCATTGGACATCTAAGGCATGTTCTGAATGGTGAGCAACAAAATGACCGGATTGCGCGTACAACTTGTTGCCTTCAAAGATTTCAGTCATCCTACATCGGCTCGGGCACAACAGGTATCTACTACGCAGTAGGGGTGAGTATTGTAGACATTGTGGGAAGAAATCACTGACGTTCGATAGTGGCTAGTACTTATCCTGAATAGGCACGATTTTTTGATGTTAAACGGGCTGTTTGTAGGATGCGTTCCCGCTCTCGAACTCCATTCAGAGTCGTGATGGTGTTTTGGTCGTTTTCACTAAATCCGATTATAGCATAGAAAAAAGGAGCATCCGAATCGAACTGGGATTGGGAACCTGTGAACTCACCGTTCTCTGTGGTGGGTAAATGCTGTCACGTGGTTGTAATGTCAGAGCACAAAATCATAAAAAGATCATTTTGTTAAATTCACAATTAATTGAATCACGCGGCTTTGGAGCAACCTCCATAGAGCGGTCACTTCGTGAACTGGTTCTCGTATAATAGAACCAGTTTGCTCGTGATACGATTAAACGGTTGGTCATTGAACTCGGAATTCAATTTCATTTCAACTTTGCCGAGGTTTCAACTTTCAACTTTTCTCAATAGCAGCCCAGCTCAGGGTTGTCTTCGCGGCGGAATGTGCTTCTCAGATAGGATGTACTTGTTTCTGGCCATCGGAATAATTCGACGTGAGTGGTTCTCTCAGAATCTCGTCAGAGTTCAGCAGAACCGTCAAGACGTAATTAACGCGAACCTAGAGATACTAGTTTCTCGGGCGATTCTTTCAGTTTCCCCCTATGGCGAAATTGTTCGCCTGGTCCGGATTTTATCACGGCTGACGACAGTAATTTGCCAAACTGTCAAGCGCTCAAATGGTCATGAAACTGCACAACGGCTCCGTCTCCTTTTCTCGTCCTCTGACTTCTTTCTATTCCTTCCACGAGCAGATGAAGTCTTTTTCGAGCTCCACCTCTTGACAATAAATCCCCAGCTGGGAACTCGAGACTGGAAACCCTTCCGTACTTTTGCTTCAGTTCTATTTGGAAATGGGACAGCGGCAAAGTTCTTCCCATGTTGAAAGAAAAACGATTGATAGCGCACTAGGTCAATGGCTCTTCAAGCTTGCCAAGTTGGAAGTCCAGGTGTCGTTCTGCCAAGGTAGACGCGTTGCACGAATGGAGCCACCCATCACCTTTAAATGACCTGTCTCGTTCATCTTCGACATTTACGAAGAGTCTTTCACATATACTGGGTTGATCTCCGTTTTTGAGAAAGGCCCACCTTCTATTCAGAATTTGAGGCATTGGGCTAGTGCCAATGCGGGATTCGATCTCCGCACCAT